AAGCAAAAACAAAAACAAAAGCAAAGCAAAACTCATAGACAGATAACAGTGTGGTGATGACCAGAGGGAAGGGGGGGGGGCGAAGGTAGAGGAGGATAGAGGGGGAATAAATGGTGATAAAAGGAGGCTTGACTTGGGGTGATGAACACACAGTACATCATACAGATGAGGCATTATAGAATTGTACACCTGAAACCTATATGATTCTACTAAACAATCTCACCATAATAAAATTTCATAGAAATAAATTTTAAAATATGAAAAAAATAATCAATGAAGCATGTCCAAGATACTGACTCTATGTTTCACACAAGGTAGAGGCCTGGGAAAAATCAACATGGTTTCCTGCCTTTAAAGGGCTTACACTTTTACTTAAGAGACAGAATAGCCCAAAGAAAATAATCAATGGATTAAACAGAAAACACCAGAAAAGAAACACAATACCAGTATTGTTAAGCAGAAGAGTTTAGTGGTCAGGCAGGCAGGCTATGGAGACAAGTAGCCTGGGTTCAAATCCCAGCTCTACCACTAAGTAACCAAGTAGCTCTAGGCAGTTACCTTTGTGCAATTTTCTCAATTAAAAAATAGGAATCATGAGAGTATTTCAAAGTGGCACATATGAAGCATTTAGAACAGTGACCAGAATGTAGTAAGGAATGACTATTAGCTATTATGAGACATCACTGAGATTTAGAGGGACCTGTGGTTTGGTTGATTACTTTTTCTCATTAAATACTTTTGCTGCCTCATTATCTTCCTGTTAGAATTTGCTTGACCAGAGAAACTTGGTTCTACGGACATGATGTGTCAGGGCACATCGGGACCACCGGTCTGGAGTCTCAGCAGCCAGGATCCACCACCACCTCGCTGGTTCCAGATGGATGAAGGATGGTCCCGATGTTTAGATGTCTTCTGGGGTCACAAATAGCTCCTCTGGGAGAAAAAACAACCATGTCAAAGCCTTCATTATGTGCCTTCTTCCATCTCCTTCAACCAAAATGGCCCCTCTCCTCCTCTCTGCTGATCTAAATCCAGTATTGCTCAGGGTCCAGGGCCCGGTGCAGGGTCTATACAGAGGGAGGAGATGGAAAGAAGGAATGGATTTTTGAGTTATGAATTATCTATCATAAATCTCTGTACTTCCTGAACTCTCTGGTGGTTTTAAATATAAGTGGAAATCTGGTCTTTCCAGAAGACATGGCCCCTTTATGTCCAGAAGATGTTCTCTGGTGATTATCCAGTTATCACTAGTTCAGCCTCCTCAGTGGCCAGATCAGGGTCAGGATGAATTGTTTATCAAGGCTGCCTGCATTCCTGAGCTAACCCTGGGTATCAGCTGCTCCCTCCTTGTCTTCAGACTCTTGATTATCCATCCAACTTATGTGACCAGTTTGTCCAACTGTACCCTTTTTTATTTTTTCAATTACGGTCTACATTCAATATTATTTTTATTAGTTTCAGATGGACAGCATACTGGTTAGATAATCGTAGACTTTATAAAGTGTTTCTCCTGGTATTTCTTGTACCCACCTGGCACCATACACAGTTATTACAATATCATTGAGTATGTGTCCTATGCTGTACTTTAGGAAATACAGTGACTATTCCCATGACTGTTTTGTAACTACCAATCTGTACTCTCCATCCCTTCACCTTTCCCACCTGTCCTCTTTCTCCTCCCACCGGCTGCCTGGGCCCTAGACACAGAAGCCACATGAAGGAGCGCAGCAGACTAGCCCCCCAAGCCCTGGGCTGTCTATCCAGTCTTACCCTTCCACAAAATAGAGAAATACTGTTCTGTTTTATTTAAACCGTTTTTAGTCTGCTTTTTTTTGTGTGGTAGCTTACCCTCTACCCTAAATATGAATTATTCCTCTGAACTTGTCCGTAGATTTCTAATTTGTTAAGTGGTTTAAACAGAGAATTCTTAAGGGTGTCTCCAGATTAGACACGGCAGAATTTGTGTTCTGGAAGTTGACACGTCTGAGGAGGTGCTGTGTGACAGGCTGCCCCTGCCCTGGGCTTCACCGCAGAGCCCGACTGCAAGAATATAAAGAGCACGCTCACGGGAACTGTACATATCCCAACGTTAAAGTGTTCTTGCCGCCCAGGCATCCTGTCTGGCCTCTCGGCTCACGGCTGCCCACAGGACTAGTGCGGGACCCTAAATCTGCCTGACCTGGAAAAAGCACACTCCCTGCCCTTAGAGGTTTTGAACTCCTGCACACTGCCTACTGGTTTTAGCTACTTACTGACCTCTGATCCGCACAGTTGATATACTCAGCATCTTAGGAGTTTAGATAAAGAAGATCTCTGAGAAGCATCTGCTTTCTTCATGGCTCCACATGAATCTCCATGTTCAGTTCTGCGGACTCAGCCTGCCCACTCCTCTCTGCCCTGCTGACCATGTCCCTCCCCGCCATCAACTGGGCATAAAGGGGAGAATGACAGGTTATAGGATTGTAGAGTACAAGTGATAGAAATTTGAGGATCTCTATTTTTACCTTTAGACAGTGGAGTATTTGTTTAGAGGAAGACATTTTGCCAAAAATCTGACACATGGAACAAAAGAGCAGAGCTTCTCTGATTGGAGAGGCAGTGGCGATCAGGAGCTTACGTGTTAGTCATTCTCCTTGCGCCTCATCGTGGTTCTTGAAGACCTCCTGGCTGGCCTGTGCTTTCCTGAATTGAATTTGAAAATGATGGGTCTATTTCAACTCTCTCCCCAATTTACACATGGAAAAATTAGGATGAAGAAATGATTCATGCCATGTCCAAGTGTCTCGATGCTAAGGCCAGGGTTCTTCCATTAGTCACACTGCCCCTTACCCACACACATTGTTTCTTCTTTGTCAACGTTGTTATACCTACTGCACATGGAGACTCAGGAAACCTTCCCAAGTGAAAGATGCCTTGGAAACAAAAACAAGCCCTTCTGTATATATCCTTTTCTTCATGGGTCTTTGAAATCCAAACCTCCAGATACAGGGACGAAATCATCAAAGTTAATTTTAGTGAACAATGAATGACATGCTTTATCTGAACCTCTCTTCAATGCATTAGAGAAATGATACCTAAGTTAAGGTTGATGACTTTTTCTCTGAAATGGATTAGCTCTGCTCTGACAATAGGATGGAAAAAACCCAAGTCTAAATTTTCTTCCCGTCACTAGAGGTGATGCTGTTAAGATTTTGGCTCCTTTCCCTTTGCTCCGAAGGTGTCACCCACCATCCTCCCCTTTCCACACTGCTGTGACCAGAAAGGCTGCCTAGGGACTTACCAGCTTACTCTGAGAGGCTCTGCTATTGTCTTCTAGGATAAAGGCGGCTACACCTTTTCTGTAAAGAGCCAGACAGTAATTATTTTAGACAGTGTTGCAAAGCACATACAGTCGCTGTTGCATATTCTCCCTTTTTGTTGTCTTTTTTTAAATCGGGTTTTTAAAATGTAAAAATGGTCAGCTGAAGGGCAGTACAAAATCTGTTATAGGAGTAATTTTGAAGGTCCCAAGGTCTTACATTAGTTTTTTAAATAGTTCTTCCCTTGATTTATCTTTCTTTTCTCTTATTTTACTATGAGCAGCAAGAAGAACACAGCAGCTCGGACATCTTTGTGAACAGCCACACTCATCACTTGCAGGTTCTGCTTTCCAGAGAACTTCAGCAGACAATTCCACTAGGTTCTCTGTGTAATAAGAAACAGCCTTCCTCCGGTTTCCAAAAGCATGTTCACTTATTTTTATGCCCCCTCTAGCAGGCTCCTCAAAGTTCATGTTTCTGCCAATGGTTTATTCAAGGCCGTTCAGGCTGTCTTTATTATGCTCTTGGAAATTCCTCTAGCCTCTGTCCAGTGCCCAGCTCCAAAGCTGCTCTCCTATATTTTTAGATTTTTGTGATGGCAGCATTCCACTTCCAGGTACCCAAATCTGTTAGTAACATATTACTGTGTAATAAGTTACTTAGACTTGGAAGCCAGAACCACATTCATTCGTTTCTGTGGGCCAGGTGTCTGGGGCATGACTAGCTTGGCCCTCTCTTCGGGGTCTCACAAGGTGCCAGCCAGGACTACAGTCTCATCTAATAGTTGGGGTTCTCTTCTGATCTCATAGTATTGTTGGAAGAATTCCTTTTCTTCAATCTCTAGAACTACCCGTGGAAGCTCCTGGAAGGCCAGCAGGAGGATCTCCCTTCGTATCTTCCTGAATTCTTGAACAAGTCACCCGATAAGGCTGGGCTCAAGAAGGACAATGACTCTTTTGAGTGACTCAGAGTCCATCAATCAGGACCTCAATGACATCTGCAAAATCCCTTAAACTTTGCCACATAAGAGAAGCAGCTCATGGGGGTGATCTCCCATCATATCTCCAGGCGCCGCCTCCACTGAAAGGAAAAGCATTACATAGGGTACGAGTCTTGGGGGGCCCTCTGAGAATTCTGCCTACAACAGCTTGGAAAAAGCTTCAAGCAAATATGAAAACCCAGTACATTTCTCCAATTTATTTTCACAACTTTTTTTTCCAGTGTTTCACTGAACCCAGCAAATTGTAATAGACATGCTCTATGGACTATATTAATTCCAGCTCTCATAGCTTTTAAACACGGCCCAACACAGATCCCTCGCATGGGACTCAGGAGCTTTGCTTTTTAATTGCATCTCTGTCATGAGATGAGACATTGAGTATTCTCAGGGAAGAAACTGAATCTCACTGGGTTTGTATTTTTAAAATATATTAGATATATTATCACCAATTTTCCTAGCAGATCTGAGGTTCTTGGTTCAGTGGTTCATATGTCCTGAGGTATAATTGTTGATGACATATCCATATTGAAAAGCAGAATTAGCAGGCGAGGGTAACAGGAACCAGAGGCCACCAACGATGAGAGTACAGGGTAAAGAATCAGGAGGCTGGTGTTAACTGCCCAACCTTGCATAGCTCAGGCAGGCTCTCCTTGCACAATTGGAACCTTTGTCCTCCCCAGGGAGGTCTTCAGTGAGCACCCAAGGGAGCAGGGTCCTGTGTGCACTCCCAGGTCACCCACCTGCCCCTGCCCCAAGCCCGAGGCCGGAACAGCCTTTCTTCTGCTACAGCTTCTGATCTAAGAGTGTTAGCGCTAGCTCTGCCGCTTTCACAGGTAAGTGGTTTTACGCTAAGAGCTTCAAAGATAGAGGTTTCCATAAGTCAGATTTAAAGACAAATTAAACTTCCCTAGCTCCTGTACGTATGAACCTCAATCTTCAATTTTCAAAGGGCAGTACATTTTTAAATCATCCCCCACATCTTTGTGGTTGGAACAGTTCCCACAGATATGGCAGCTGGTCTGCGGCCGAAGTTTTCTCTCGAAGCTCCCTGGTGGATGACCGTTCCCAGGTCTTCCTTCGGGTGTCCACATGCAGCCAAGCTTCAGTGAAGGCAAACAGCAGGGACTGTCCCTGGAACGGGAGGCTGTGCGGGACAGAGGTCACCGAGTATGGCTGTGCCAGGCCAGAGATGGAACCGACTGACCCAGGGCTCGGACAGAGCCACCCTGACCCAGAAGCCGACTCGGATCTCGTGAGCCCTGGGATCTACTCACCCACCTGGTTCCACCCTATGAAACCAGGGGGTAATTTTAAACCAATCACCATCACGGGGTCACTACTGTCCTAGGTCTGACCCTTCTGCCCTGTGTGTGCTAACTGCTGCCAACTCCAGCAGCCAAGCTTTTGAAAACAGTTAATAATTATTGAGGGCCAATCTATGATTCCTCAGGCATTGCTTTGGGCGTGTGGTATGTTTTCTCTCATAACCTCAGTTATGGACGGAATCACGTCTACCCAAACTTCGTGTGCCGGGTCCTTAATTCCCCATGTGACTGGACTTGGAGATAGGGGCTCGAGGGCAACAATTAAGGTTCAGTGAGGTAATAAGGCGGGGCCTTCATCTGGTAGGTCCTTGTAAGAAGACGAAGAGAAGCCAGGAACATGTGCACACAGAGGAAAGGCCATGTGAGGACACAGCAAAAGAAGGCACCGTCTAAGCCCTGGCTGGCGTGGCTCACTGGATTGAGCATGGGCTGCAAACCAAAGTGTCGCAGGTTCGATTCCCAGTCAGGGCACATGCCTGGGTTGCAGGCCATGACCCCCAGCAACTGCACATTGACGTTCCTCTCTCTCTCTCTATTTCCCTTCCTTCTCTCTCTAAAAATAAAACCTTAAAAAAAAAGGAAGGCACTGTCTAAAGTCGGGAAGCGAGGGCCCCCCAGAAACCAACCCCGCTGACATCTGGATCTTGGACTTCCAGCCTCCAGGCTCTGAGGAGACGAGTTTCTGTTGTTGAAGTTTCTGCCTTGTCTTTGGCATTGATAGGGCAGCCCTAGCTGCCTAATACCCTCTGAGGTAAGTGGCATTTATCTTCCACAGAACAGATCGGTGCTTGGAGAGGTGAAGTTAACGGCTTGTCATAAAACCACCTGGAGACCACAATCACTTTATAATTTATGGAGGTAGAAGCAACATGTGTGTGGAAAACCTCTCTCAGCTTACAGTTCCTTATACCCCAACATTGTGGGTGTGTATTTCATATTCTATAAAAGTAAAATGTAGCCAGTTCCTGTAATAAATCTCCTCATAGATATCCTATTGGTTTTGGAGAACCCTGGCTCATACAATGAGGTTGCATTGGAAATGAGGTGGCCTTCATTTTAGCATCGAGAAGCCATCTCAAGTGCATTTCATAAGGATTGATGGGCAGAGAGCACTTCGGAGGGAAGACCAAGAGGATGAGTTTGAGGGTCATTTCTTCCTCCCAGAGGAGAGCTTCAGGCTCCCCCTGTGGCAGAGAAAGGAGGAGCTTTGTCCAACAGGTTAGAGTTAAGGAGTGTTAGCACCACAAACACATGCGCTGAACTGAAGGAAACACTGCAAGTGTGAAAGGACAGTTCATTCACAGTAAACAGAGACAGTGGCTGTAGGAGGGGGGAGCACCCGTGGTGCTGAAACACGCGATATAAACACTGCTCCTGGGAAAGACGCCCTCAGACGCTCACAGACATGCAGGCCGGGTGCGGAGCAGAATCAGGGAGACAGAGAACTGCGGCTACTCTGAGCAGCCAGTGAGAGTCTTGGTACCTGGACATGGGACAGGGTGAGAACGAAGGGCTGGGAGTAAGGTTGGAGGTTAGAGCTACAGGAAAGCAGAGAAATGTTTTCTTCCCACAACCCACTGCTGACGTCAACAAAGGTGGTCCAATCACTGCCATTACATCACGAGTACACAACAGCACAGAGACACATATATCCTTCGCGCACACCAGGTCCAGGATGCTTAGTCCTTCCGGAAGCCCGGGGGGCCCCGGGATCTGCACATTGAACAGGCCCGTCAGTCTCATCGTTCTAGTCATAAAGGGCTAAAAAGTGCCTGCAAAGCTGTGGCCCCCAGTTTTTTCCAGATGTTTCTACGTGAGGACTCATTAACATTGACGTTTCCCCTTTCCCATTTCCCCTTTCCACAGTCCATTGGGGTGGCCCAGGCTACCATGTCAGGGTGTGAGAGAGCGCAGCCTCATAAAGAAGAGATTATATAACATCAAGATCATTCTTACCAGAACGGGGTAAAATCTGTCTGGGTGAATGCGCAGCAAGGCGTGTCTTGCCAGGCTTTAATGTAAAACAGTGAGAAGTTTCAGATGAAGGAGCATCTCAGCCACGTGCTTATGAGGTTAGAGCTTGGTGTTCACACCAATTCTCTTTCATAAATTGGTTTCCAGACTCCGATGTTTTAAAATCAAATTAGGTCTCCAAAATCCACTGTATGTTGATGATCTTAATAGTCCTCTTGAACTGTTTTCTGATCTGGAAATGGGAATCTGAAAGACTTAAATGGGCTCTGCCCATCCTGCCTGGGAATGGCACCTGATTTAAGACCCCCACACCTCTTCTTCCGACGAAGTCCTTGAGAAGGCGTCCTGTTGCAGGTGAGCCCCTGCACCCTCTCACCTTTGCGGGATTTATCTCTGCACGCCAGGAAAGTTAACCCCCATACACAAGGATCCCAGGGATATACTTCAAAAACATTTTTGATTCTATCGAGTCAGTGGAGAAGTTATTTTCGGTCTGCCTGAGGAATACAGCAGATTAAGAGAGCGAGAAAAGCTATAAAATAGCTCGTGAGTCCAGATATCTTGAACAGCCCTGCCCTGGATATGGGGCCGGGGAACCAGAAATGCAGGTGGCGGCAGCGATGAGGGCAGTTTTCTACGCACGCAAAGGGTCTGCGTAGCGTGCAGAAAGACACCACAGACACGGGCTCTGGAACTGATGCCGATGGGCAATGGGTCAATGACTCAGTTCCTCCGGACCTCTATTTCTTCATTTCTACTTAGATGAAGGTTCACTCTAAACATTCCTGTAGGGATGAAAAAAACATAGGAAATAAATACACAGGATTTGGCACTAGCAAGATCAACACTAATGTTTGATTTATTATCATTTTTATTTTTGTTTTTGTTATCTGGGACTCCCTGAAACCATCTGCTTAAAACCGTTGGGAGCGGTACCAAGGCTTTGCCATCAGCCACATCTTTATCCCACCGCTGCAAACCTGATTCTGTTTCTACGTCTTGTCCCATCTTCTCTGTGGTATATTTAACAAGGAAAAACTGCCTGTACATGTCGAGTCTCAGAATTTAAACTTCTGCAAGATGCTGCTTCTAGTGTATTCCTGTGGCATTTTACAGGTAATACTTTAACACGGAGTGTGTGCATATCGCCAGGCAGGCATTCTGTGGGTGACAAAAGCCAACAGATGTGGATCTGTGTTCCAAGAGTTTACAGGTTAGAGGGTAGTCGATAAACAAGTTAGAGGGTAGCCGATAGCTTAGAGCTACTCGGCACTAAGAGGCAGGCTATGCCCAGGGCCAGGTGAGTGGAAGGGACTTTAGTGCAGCCAAGGTCAGCGCTCCAGCTGGACTGCACTGGAGGGGTATGAATAGGTAGGTGACGGGGAAAATGCAGGCCCACAGAGGGCTGCAGGAGCAGAAGGAACCATGTAAAAAATGAGCCCAGCATGATGGCAGGTTAGCTTTATATTTTAAAAAACAAAATCAATGTTAATTTCATACTTTCCTTTCATTATTTAGACATGAGATATTTTAGTGATTTTAGATACATTTTAGTTACTTACAATATATGTAATATCTAAGTTATACTTTGCCTTTTAAGTCCAATGTCTGGATTAACTTAGGGAAAGTTTCTAGTGAATGCTCTTATCTTGTGCATGGGTCATACAATCCTGTTTATTTGCATTTTTCATAATATAAATTTTTGCTTCAAGTTGGACAATGAAAAATATATTGTGGTAGGTCTGTAAATCATACACCCTTTCCAAAAATTGCTTTTTGCTATTGTTTTTATTTTGGTTTGTTGACTTTGTTGTTGTTTCATTTCAGTTTGTTCAGTATTTTCTCTCTGTTGTGTGTAGCCAGCCTAGAAATTTGCTGTTATATCTCGGACCAATAATTATGCAGTTCTTGCTGGGAGGTGTGGGGCACGTTGGGACATGTCTTCAAAGCTCCAGGGGACAGTTTCCATCTTTGCTTTAGTCTTTGCTTCCCTCCTGTGCAAAGCCTCAAGGTCAGTCAGTCGGAAGTGAGAAGTATTCTTTCGCCCCAATCCTGAAAAGTATTAACCTTCTATGCTCTATCATCCTTTTATTCAAACTCGCTTTCCCAGAATTTCATCCTTCTCTTTTAAGAATGTATTTATTATGTACATTCTAAGCATTGTATATAGCCCAAGAGAGGCCGATAAAGCTACGTACTCCAAGAGTGTTCTATAGAGTTTCCCGGAACTCCCTTAGTTTATTTATCGCCTGTACCAGCATAGCCTTACTTCAGATCCTGATCCAAGGCCTTCACTCGTTTTCATACAACTGTTTGAAGCTATTTGAGGTGGTTACTGTCCTGAACCATGATCTGATCTTTATATTTGGCACCCAACCCCACTCCTGCTCTCTCGGCCACCCTCCCCCTGCCTCTTACACTGGCTTCCTTCCCACAGGAGACTGGGGCATTAGACAGCAAAGCATCAGTCAATGCCAGTCATGCCAGGAGGGGCAGAGTTCAACAAGATAACAGCCAATCATAGGCACAGCATTGCAGCCCCTCAGGAAGGACATTGAATCTAACCAAACCGTCCAACAGATCTTTTTCTACTCTGGATCAGGTTTGGAAAATCAAAGGATCCCCAGGTAACATACCAGCGACAATTTTAGAAGTGCGGGGTGGTGGGGGGTGTCAGAGATGTCCTAGAAATTTTTTCTAAAATAGAGCATGAAAGAAATAAGGGAATTCAGTCCCAAGATGGGGCATGGCAGCATCGAGTACACGGGCAAGCATCAGATGGGCTCTACTTCTGGCCCCTGCATCGTGAAACCTATTTCTCTGAGATTCAGGCCAGACTCCCTACACCACTGCAGGACCCTGTTGGATAAAATAATTTCAGGCGTGGAGCGCTTGGGAGTTCTTTCACAGGTGCTTTCAGGAGGTTATTGCTACCTTGTAAAAATGAGGAATCACTGTGACCTTCTGCAATCAGACATAAAATAATCATTACAATCTCGAAATCCTTTGGGTGTGAATGATAAGGGCTACTGAGACCTTGACCATTTGGCTTCTCCCTAGCTCCCACATAGCCGGCAATAACTATTTCCACGGTATCTGCACAGCGTTCATCTACCTGTTCATCTGTCTTTATATAAACAATGCTGCTTGTCAGACACAATGTAGGAGAAGAGGACATAGTCTGTTGATTTGCTGCAGTGAGAGAGGAAAAGAGATTTCAAGTATTCTCTGTGTTGTCACTTGGCAATTTCAAATGCTTCACTGCATTTACTCACAACACAGAGAACTGACAACATCCAACAAAAGAGGTGCCTGTCCTTTAGTTATTGGTTTTATGATGGTCTATTAGATTTCCTGCATTTGCTTAAAATGCAGAAAATAGTGTCCATCTATTTTCTTCTTGATGTTCACTGCCGTTTGGGCATATTTTTTTTTTTTGGTATGATAATTGTGACCTCAGGCTTCTTGGTCCTCTTGTTGTCAGAGGGACAGGTCTGAGCCCTGAGGCTAATGTAATATTTTGAAAACAAGAGGAACAGACAGCATTCTGGAGTAAAGATGGTCCCTGCCACTGTTTTATCTGGGGAGGAATGAAACAGTATAAGGCCCTTGGAGGGATGACACCGTTGTACGTCATCACGTTTTCCTTTGCCGACCTTCCTTCCGACAGGTGTGGTCAGGTGGCAGGAGAGGTGTTCATCATGGGTCTTGTGTTAAACTGCCCTCAGACAAAGTGTGGCTTTTCCTGCTCTGACTCGACTTAAAAAATATTTGCGGAAAAAGGAGTTTTCTCTGGGGAAACAGATTTTCAATTACTTGACATTAATTTTGTGAGATGCGGGGTCAATTACTAAACAATGAGTTGTGTTTTAATCATTGCTCAGATTTGGTTATTTTAAGCAAAGACACTAGAATTTTCTGAGATCTTTTACTTAAGTAGGGAAGTATTGGAAAATAGCTATTCAACTCCTGGCCCCAAACAACCATTTCATCCTGAATATGATTGAATTTCTCTCAGAATCCAGAACCCAGGGCATGATAAAGAAAATCCTATGTATTCTGTGAATGAGCTATGTCACTAAGGAATTCTCCAGGTACCTAAAGGTTATCCTGGCAAATAACAGAAATTTTCTTTTTGAAAGATTTTTAAAGGAAAAACTTTATGTTACATGCTCTGAGTTAAATATTTCCAGAATTTATTATACCTCTGTTTTTCATATTAATTCTCCTGATATCCAGTTCCATTTCTTGTATTATGAGAGTGGTAAAGGGGTATTTAAGGTCAAATAAGTTGGGCAATGCTGGGCTAAATAATACAAAAATTAAAAAAGTTTATTATTTTATTTATTATTTTATATATAATATGCAGTGTGAATTACATAAAGGTTTATATAAAATGTGGTAGTTCAAAACCATATCTGCCCATAAAACCCTCTTCCCAGCAATTTGTTTTTGGGGGACTGCTATGCCATGATTATAGAATATCCTTATTATAATCTTTCCTGCCTTTAAAACAAAGGACACTGAATATTTCTCTTGGTCACCAGCATGTGTTTGGTGCTCAATGTAATTCTGAGTTGTAACGTGATGGACGACCTTAGATGCTCCTGAGGAATTTGGAGTAATGACTGCCTGCTTTGAACGCCAAGCAGTGGTCTAAATGGACGTGTGTGTGCTGGGGTGTCGCTCTTTTGTACGTTCATAAAAAATAAAATTCCATTGGTAGCTCTCAGTCACTCACACAACTCCAGGGTGGCATTTCTGTTCCCTGGGGCCACTGTCTGCGCGTGTGCCTGCGGCAATGCCCCACAGCCCTTTCTGTTGTGTTCCTCGATGTCCACACATTAAGAAGCCAAAGAAAGAGTAATTTGGGGAAAGAGCACAGGGAGACAGGAAAAGCAGGGATGTTTGAAGCCAGTTAGCATCATGCAGACCTGACTTAAAACTCTGGCTCTGCTCCTTGCCAGCTGTGACACGGAGAAACACATGCCCATTCTGCGCCTCTGTGTTCTCGTCTGCACAAGGAAAGCAGTGGCATCCACAGAAGAAAAGAAGCTATTTTTCTCTTGCTGCCTGTCTGCCAGCCTGTCCTCTTAGATGCCCCCAGCACTCATGAGACAAGTTTCTCATCAAATGGCGCAAAGACTGGAGTATTGATTATGCCCCTTTGACGAGTAGACGGATTCCATGTGCACCGAATAGTCACACACCCAGGTTTGGGCCCTGCTTGAAGCATAGCCAGGTCCGTCTCCCTCCTCTTTCCCTATTCCATTCGGGGGCGAGAGGATAACCAGAGTTGGATTCGAGCCCTGGGGAGAGGTGGGGACCAGTACCTTTCTTCTTAGATCGCCCATGGGGGTCTTGGCACAGCTAATAATGAGGTGGCATTTTTTTTTTCATTTTTGTTCTGCCATTGCTGTCACAGAGTTCAATCCTGAATCTGTAAGGGAAGAAGAGTTGCTCTATGGGGCTGTGTTTGCTCTAAATTTTTATCACATTTCTATCAAATGCCACAAATACATGTAAACACACCTTTCTCACTCTACCTAACAGCATAACAGGGAAGGCCGAATGAAGAGATGCTAACGCCACAAGAGATGCTTTGCCACATAAGAACTACTTCTAAGTATGAATTCACAAACTCAAGTAAGTTTCCAATAGTGTCTTCTGTAAGTAAAGTGCATGTGTTTTTGTGCGGACTTCACAGACCCCAGGTGTGTAGCAGATGAAACACCTGGATAAACAAGTACTGTCATATTTTATACTTGACTGTAGATAGTAGATATCAAAGAAACATTTAGCTTAAATCTTAGTAAATATAACATAAAAAGAAAAATGATTTTTCTTAAGCAAGTTTAATATACTCTAGTATAAATGATAGTCTTACAAAAGGGTTGCCTAGCTTTGGGATCACTCTAATTTAAATTTAAATTTGAAACTACAGACTACGTTAGTGCTTGTTCTTAAGTAGGCCTAATTGACTCACGTGGGAGCTACACAAAGGATAGTGTTTTCTCCCTCTTTAACCTGTCTCGTTGAGGGCTTAAGTGACAATCTATTTGATCAGGAAAAATGTCATCTCCTGTGTCACAGGTCAAAATAAATATGCCATTGGCATTGTGTGGTTTAGTCTGATCTGTGTACTCAGCGAATAATGCGAACGTTAGGAGAAGTGCTTTTGTCTCTCTACCCCAGTATCCTGATGAAGAACAGATCTGATTTTTTTAAAAAGGAAACAGAGTAAAGAGCTCGAGATGAGATATTTTTTTAAAATAGATTTCTTTTGGTCAGTGGAATAGAAATGACGGTACCTCTTCTTTCTTGATCTATTGCTGCCTTTGGTAAGTCTGACCTTTTTTGTTAGGAATTAAAATTTTCTTACAGAATATTCAGGGGGAAAAGGCTCTTCATAGTGTCCAGAGAAGTGAAAAAAAAATCTAAATTTAACTCCAAAAGAGCAAACCTCAGAGCACTAGGCCGCTACAGCATTTCCGATTCATGTCAATTACCTATTTAGAAAGTTAGATTTGAGTGTATTTTAAAGGACATTCTTTTATGACCTTAAACAGTAATAGCACTAAGTAATTGGAGATGAAAATCATGTGTTATTCATAAAGGAAAGTAATACTCCTTTACGTTTGTACTTTGCTGTTCCATTTATAAAGCTTTCTCACATGTGGTCTTTCATCCCACACCCGTTACGGCCTTGTGTGGATAACTTTTAATAAACATCAGGTAATTGACTACTGAGAGGCTAGGAACTTACCCAGTGTCTCCCAGCCACTGAGTGGCACAGCCACCTACAGAAATGGGTGGAGACTTCTGGTTGTCAATTCCTTTTCACCTCCTTTTGGAAAGTTCACAACATCTCCCTGGATCACTTCCATCAGCACATTAACATGCTTCCGAAATTGCACATTTCCCTCCAGGTACCCACTTTTCCTCTTTCCCCACCTTCAAAACCCTTCAAAATAACAGGGAACACTCATCGTCTGTGCTGTCTCCTCCCAGTACCTCCTCATCCCACTGCCAGGCTGTTGCGTCCTCCGTGCCACTGCAACAACTCTTAGTAACTGCACTGGAAAGTACGTCGTGCCAAAGACAGTGATCGCTGTCCGTCATCCTCATTTGACTTCTCACGCCTGAACTGATTTCTCCTTTGTGAAACATTCTCTTACCTGGGTTTCAGTAAAACTGTCCTCAACTGATGTCTCTTCTTTCCCAGGTACCTTTCTTCTCAGCCACCTTTGATGGATCTTCCTCTTCTTCCACTGTAAATATTGGGGCGACCCAAGAATAGTTTCTCTACCCAGTTTTTTCTCTCTTCTTTATTCACACCCTCCCCTAGGTAACTTTTTTCCCCGCCCAAGGCACTACATTCCTCCAGCCCCAACCTCCTCCTTTAGCTATGCTCCGATACTCCACCGCCTACTCAACGTCTCCACTTTGACGGATAATGATCATTGTGGTCCCAATACGGCTGAGACAGTGACGAAGTTTCCACTGTTCTCCACACCCACTTTTCCTGCCCCATCCATCCCACCTCCAATTCCATTTTATCATTCTCCATCTCTTTCATTCAGTTGCTCAAACCCAAAACTTCACTACTTGCACCCCCCCCATTCAATCCAGTGGTAAGGCTGGGTGCCACTACATGCAAGCGCACCTTAAATATGACCGCGTCTCACCGTCTCAGCTTCTCTAAGACTAGCGCAAGCCACCACCACACCTCCGTGGACTATTTAATTGTCTGTTTTTTCCCTGATAATCCCTTTCTCATAGCAGCCGTGGTGATCTTTCAAAGAACAAATCGGGTCTAGTTGTGCCTGTTTAAAACTCCACAACAGATGCTCATTGTGCTTAGAATATAATCCAACTCTCTGTTGGCAAGTGCCTTCTTGATCTTTCTATGCCCTACCTCTCCTTGTAATATCATCCCCTCCACTTTTTTCCTCTTGTTCGCTCCATATTATTCTATTTTATCTTCTCTATAGCTCTCTTGTTTCCTCAAAATATCTTAAATATTCTTTTACTTGTTTATTGTTTATGAATTACACTTGAATATAAATTCTACAAGTATATTTCCTTCTTATTCCTGCTGTACCCCATGTGCTTGAATTAATCACTCACAATTTGCATGCACTAGTTAAATATGTGTTTGCCTATCTTCTGTTTTCTCACTTTTGGTAAAAGTGTAAATAAATGAACTATTGTACTTTCCACTGAATTCCACTATAAGAAGACAGTAACTCATCATTAGAACAAATTAAAATCTATACCCAATTTTGCTGTGGGGACCTCAGGGAATGAAAAGATCTGTGGCAAGTAGGAAAGTACGTATTTCATGTGAAGGAATGGCTGCTATTCAGCCTCAGCCAAAAGGTTCCCCCAAGGAAGGTGAGTCCGGTGTCACAACATATTTGATAACTTATCTAATATAGCCCAAATTATAATTTTTAAATGATATGTCTACATTGATAAACATTCATAATTACCTCTGTTTTTAAAAACCCTGTAAGAGGACTAAATATGACCCATTCTCAGAAAGGTTTTAGTATGTAGCCTCTCTCATTCTGCAGCCTTTACTGTATAATGATTTCATGGGCAGCAAAACAGCCCAAAGCAACTCCATTGAGTGCCATGGCCGATAATGATGGGGGCAATGGAATATGCAGGCAATGTAGGGAAGGTTCACCAGCCTCAGAGTTTTACCCCTAAATAAGGCCTGACTCAGCACTTTAGAGTTGGGCCAGTCTGGGGTCTGAAGCCATGACCTTCACAGGCAAATTTTTAAAAGAGCAGAGACACTTTGTCTTCCTGCAGGACACTGGCTTCTGTGGTCCATGAAAGCAAAGATCAGAGAAATAAGAGGATAAAAATAACCAGAGGCTGTCAGAGGTTGGAGGCGGGACAACTGCACAGAATTCCAAATCCCTCACCTAGCGTTCAGGGAACTTGAAAACTCATTCAAGTCAACCTCATACTTGTCTTCAGCTCCCATGCTCTGTGACAAAAATGATGCTGGAAATTCATCTTGAGAAATGTTTAAAATCACATTTATAGAAAACAGTGAGTATATATCTCTTCTTCCATTTAGATAACCTGCAAAGACATAATTATTTCAATTCAGTTTCATTCAATTTAATTAAGCAAACATTCTCTGTTGCCTTTCTACGGTCCGCATATGGTGTTCCTTGCTATCAAAATGCTGAATTAAATACTATATAGGTATTGCCATTAATGAGAAAAATACATACTTTACCCCTTTTCCTCCAGGTCACCGGGGACCACTCCCTCAACTTCAGAGCCTCTTTTGGAGGAGAGTCTGAGAGAATCACTGACAATTAGCAAAGCCTTATATATACTGTTAATTGATTTATTATGTTCATAAGATGTTTCTATGATCTCAATCGTAAGCTTCTGGAGGGGAGGGACTGAGTTGCACACTTTTCTTTTGCATTTCAAGCACCTAGCATGGATTGGGTCTCCAAGACATCCTCAATTATGCCACGTTGGCCCATGGGCCAGCTTAAAACTTTTGTGCCAGCCATGGACACTTGGCCACTGGAGTTTGCCCAGAGAAAGGGAAAAAACGAACAACTGGTTGAGCTTAATTCATTTTTTGGTGATTATTTTCCCCAAGGTAGGAAGATGAAAGGTCACACCACTTCATAATATTTTTGGACTTCTGGCCAAGATGGAGGTTTAGGCAGATACACTGTACCTGCTTGCACAACCAAAAGAAGGACAACAACAAATTTAAAAAAAAAACAACCAAAATTACCAGGAAATCAAACTGTATGGAAGTCTGACAACTATGGAGTTAAAGAATAAACATTCAGACTTCCAGCCAAGATGGAGGTGGAGGTAGACACACTGTGCCTCCTTGCACAACCAAAATAAGGACAACAACAATTTAAAAACAAAAAATCAACCAGTACTGACAGAAAATTGAACTGTAGAGAAGTCCAACAACCAAGGAGTTAAAGTAGACACACTCATCCAGACTGGTAGGAGGGGCGGAGTCAGGGAGCCGGGAAGGAGAGGGCTCTCAGAGGGGCGGCTGGCAGACCGGGGTGCCCAGGTGGTGGCTGGCAGACCCTGGGAACGCAAAGCGGCAGCTGGTGGACCCAGCGAGGCAGCGAGGGGTGCAACGCACAGGGTAGCTGGTGGCCTGGGTGGTCCCAGATTCGCTACCATATAAACCAGGTGCAACTAGGGAGGGAAACAGACCATGCAACCCAGGGTCCAAGCTCAGGGAAATAAAGCCTCAAAACACCAATTGAAAACACCTGTGGGAGTTGAGGTGCTGGGAGAAACTCCCAGCTTCACAAGAGAGTTCATTGGAGAGACCCACAGGGTCCCAGGACATACACTGACGTGGGAATCAGCACCAGAAGGGCCCAATTTGCTTGTGGGAAGTGGGGGAAGTGACTGAAATCTGGCAGAGGGCGGAGCAAGAGCCATTGTTTTCTCTAGGACCCCTGCCCCACATACAGCATCACAACCCAGCAACTGGGTTGCCCCACCCTGGGGAACATATAAGGCTCCGCCCCTCACTACATAACAGTGTGTCAAGACAAAAAAATGGCCCAAATGAAAGAATAGATCAAAGCTCCAGAAAAAATACAACTAAGCAAATAAA